GCCGCGTCAACAAGTCGAAGAATCTCTGCACCCCTTCTTCAACCGCTTCGTCTTCTTCAATTCGTAGTGCCGCCATTTGCCGTTCCAACACCACCGCTACCGCCGCTGTTGCAAGAGCATGTACACCCTTGAGAGCAGCCCATGCCTTTGGTCCCTTCTCTGGTTCACGCTGGAATGGCTTGATATGACGGATCTGGCTGCTCCCCAACACTTGCCCAAGTAGGAGATAGCCTTGTGCGCTCTTCCGCACCCACGGGCTCTTCTCCGGGTCGTTCTCGGGGCGCTTCTCCGTTCCTTCCATCACCTCCAGCAGGTCATAGTGGTCAAATACATTCTCCATTCTAAAGGACCATTCAGCGAAGTTGTCGCCATTGAACTTGTCAAGCCCAAACACCCTAGGCTCATCCCTAGGTGGGCCAAGACTTGGTTGCACGGGCGCCATGGCTGAATCACGGGGTTGGCCTTGAGCTTGGGCTTCTCCACTGCCACCAGCACCTCTGCAACCCCTTTCCTCAGGTCCAGCCATTGTCGAAACTGCTCCAAGGGGCTCTGATACCAGTTGTTATAGTCACAATAGGCTTGAATGTGCCTAAAACGAAAGATAGAGTGCACAGACGGATTTCTGCACAGCGGATTCAAACGTTGATAGCGTTCTGCTCACAGCTGCAAATGACTTGACTCAAATTGGATATGGAGCGTCTTTACGTCGCCTACAATAGGCAATTTAGATTGCACGATTTCACAAAGAATTGATGACACAGCGTTGGTTTGAACGAACGGTAGTATGGCAGCCACTATAGTCTTAGAACACAAATTAGGAAGAGAACCCGACGACCGCTTCACCCTGAAGATCCACATGCCATCGACTATGTTCGCCCCAGGTGGGGGAACCTCGTCGACGTAGGTGCCCGTGGACTTCCAGGATGCCATCTCGGCATCCATGGCTGCCTGCCACGGAGAGGAGTAAGGACCCGTAATCGCCTCTGCGTAAGAGCGCGGGGTCGGGATGTCTGGTGCATCCAGGTCTCCCTCAGGGGCAAGCAGCATGGAAGCGAAATGAGGTACAGCAGCTGCAAGACACTCAAAGTCCTCCTGCCTGTCCTCAAGGACGTCCGTGAAGTGCCATAGCCTGTGTGCCGAAGACAGGAGGGGGACGCGGGCGAGGGACGCGATGACTAGTGCTAACAGGGAAGGCAGGACGAGACGCAGGCTCACGACGCTCTGTAAGACCGCCGGTCTGCTCAATGTAAGGAGAAGGAGCAGGCAGTGGGGAGGCTGGCTGTAACGGCGGCTGCGACTGGTCAGGCGGTGGACACAGTAAGGGAGGAGGAAGGCAGGTAGAAGACGGGACACCAAGAGCCTGCTGAAGCAGGAGAACGAAGTATGGTCGCGGCCGCACAGTGCCTCCAGCACCTCCAGCTCCAGGGTCAACAGCTCCAGCTCCTCCAGCCCCAGCAGCTTTAGGCTCCGTAGGGTCTCCAGCTCCAGCTCCCCCAACACCACCAGTCCCGGCAGCTCCAGTACCCCTGGTACGAGCACCTCCAAGACCAGCAGCTGCAGCACCTCCGGTACCACCAGCTCCAGAAGTAACTCCAGTACCTCTAGCTCCAATGTCTCCAGCGACAGAGTCTCCAGCTCCGGCAGCTCGACTCCGAAGGCGAGTGCGCTGAGCAAACCACTCGCGTAGGTGCTGCGGGGAGAGAGGCTCCGACCGGGGAGACAGTCGTGACGAAGCACCTGTAGGACCTCCAGAAGAAGCAGTACCCCTCGGCTTAGCACCCCCAGAATCTGCACCCTCAGACTCAGCACCCCAAGGCTCCACACCCTCAGGCTCAGCACCCCCAGGCTCCACACCCGCAGGCTCAGCACCCCCAGGCTTCGCACCCCCAGGCTCAGCACCCCCAGAACCAGCACCCCCAGGCTCCGCACCCCCAGGCTCCGCACCCCCAGACGCAGCACCCCCAGACGCAGCACCTCGAGCAGCACCTGAGCCGACACCTACCTCAAGAGGCGCAGTACCAAGGAGAGGGTCTACCTGAGACACTCCTAAGAGAGCAGGACCTTGGGGGGGGAGGGGGTCTACCGGAGGGGGACCTGGAGCAAGGAAGAGCGGCGGGGATGGGGGAGGAGCAGAGCGGTAGGGGAAGAGACGGTAAAAGGGAACCGACTCGTTAAACGTGATGTCCAGAGAGGGGAAGACATAGCGCAAGGTGGGGTGGTAAAACTGCCAGCCAGGTGCGTCAGGGGAAAAGCCAAGGAAGACGCAGGGAATAGCATGGGCGGAGAGCTTATCCACGGACGTATCGCGAACAAAGGCACGAGAGCCACAGACCCGGAACACTGACGCATCGCCAACCTTCCCCGTCCAACGAAGTGTAGGGGAGGTCTCCGGCAAGGAGACACGGGGCCAGAGGTTGAGCTGATGCGCAGCGTACCGGACCGCAAACGGCCACAGAAAATGGGGAGCAGCTGCATGCGGATCCGCTTGCGGAGCTGAAGACAGAATGCGCGGATCCAAGGGATCAAGACATCAACGACCTGACCCTTGCTGCGCAAGGGGAAGACCATGGTGTACCGCGTGTAGTCGTCAACAACCAGCAAAAAGTAGCACTCGCGGCCTTTTCCATTGACGCGGGCTGGGCCCCAAACGTCCATGTGGAGAGTCTGCAGGGGAGCAGCCATCGAGGGAAACGAGAAGGAGTGAGGAGGAGCGCGCTGCTGCCCCTCAATGCAAGGAAGGCAGGGCGGGGCAGGCGAGGGCGGGAGGGGAGGCAGAGACCTGGGAAGACCAGAGACAAGGAGGCGGGAGTGCATGCCACGAAGGCGTGGCAGGGTGGGGTGACCTAGGCGGTGGTGCCACAGAAGAGTCTGGTGCGACAGGAGGCGACACGAGCAAGGGGGTGCTACCTGACCTAACGCGGACACCTGGGCAGACGTAGCTACCTGAGGAGGCTCGGTAGCCAGTGTGTACAGACTCGACCCTGGCCGACGAGTGAACGTGTCCAGGTGACGGCCCGTCCGTGTACACGTGCAGATCGACACACGCTGACCCCCAGGAGTGGTGGTAGTGACCATCACGTCTTGGAGGGCAGTGGTACTCACCAAGTTCGTTGAGAACGAAGGGAGGTGAAGGCTTGACAGCGACCCGAACGGAACCGCTGGACACAAGAGCACACTGGAGGGGCAAGGACTGGGCCCCCTGAGGGGTCAGCCAGCCTGACCGGTACAGGTGCAGAGAGAGGAGTGAGGGTGGTGCTGTCGTGAAAGAAACAGTGTGAGGCACTTGAGTCAAGTTTGAAGGTGTGCAAGGCCTCAGCAAGCGCAGTACCAGGGAGAACAGACTCACTAGCACCTAGAGGAGGGATAGCATCATAGTATAGGTCAAAGATAGCAACTCCAGACCTAAGCAGCTCCGCCCAGCGGGGGCGCTCGGCCTTGTCACCAAACACTGCGCGCCAAGCGTCGTCAAGGCGGGAGAAGCAGCGGTGCTAAGTGTGAGGCTTCCCGCATGTTTGACCAGCACGGTCACCCGTGCGAATGACATACGGGCAGCTACTACTACCCCCAGATGCCGCACGCTGAGAAAACCACTCACGAAGCTGCTGGGGCGACGGGGTCTCGCTCCGACGCTGCTGCTGCTGCCTATGGCCACGGCCAGAACCTCCACGCTGAGTAGCTCCAGCTTGACCGCCACCACTCCCACTGCCGCCACTACCGCCACCCCCACCGCTGCCACCACCGCCGCCACCAACGCCCCCACTCCCGCCACCACTCCCACTCCCGCCACCACCTCCACTGCCTCCACCACCTCCAATGCTGCCCCCACCACCACCCCCGCTGCCACCGCCCTCACCTCTGCCACCCTTGCCCTTGCTGCTGCGGCGCTTCGCACTAGCAGAAGCAGCCCCGACATCCTCAGCACCAAGGACTTCAACAATAGCAGCAGAGGTGTAGGAGGGGGCAAGGGGGGAGGGGGAGCAACCCTCAAAGAAGGGCGTGCGCGGAGTGCCACGAGCAGAACCTACAGCGACTACACTAGTCTCAGTTGCAAGGAGGTGCTGCTCGAGTAGGTCAACAGTGAGAGCTGTGGGGTCAAGTGCAAGAAAGTGGTCCCTGACAGCGCGAAGAGAGTCAGGGAGGCGGGTGACTATAAAGTAGAGAGTGATGTACATGGGGGGCAGGTTCCGGTCAAGGAACTCTGCTGGGAGGGCAGCGCAGTAGCGAGCATCGCTAGTGCGAAGGTGGGAAACCAGGTCCTCTACTGTGGCAAAGGCGGATAGCTCGGGAAACAGGTAGGGCAGTAGAAGACGGTCGAGAGCGGCGGTGGCAGGCGAGGAGTAACGAGCGACTACAGCATCGTACAGTGCCTATGCAGTCCTGTGTTGTCCGAATTGAGCGCACTCGGCCAGTGGCAGATGGTTGCGAATGGCTAAGCGAGCAGAAGCGTCACGAGTAAGGCACTGTGAGTGAGTCGCACTGTCAGCTGTGGCGGGAGGGGCGAGAGCGGCGCCAGACGTGTGGTCAAACAATGAAATGCTGTCCCTAGTGTCGCTCAGTAGGTACAGCTGCAGGTCGTCGAGCCACGTGTCAAACTGTATAGGACGGCCCTCATGATCGAACGCTAGCACGCGGAGAGAAGCCATAGTGTCGCAGCACGCAGAGCGGGGAGAAGCAGGGCAGCGCAGCAGCAAGGGGCGGAGAGAGGGCCGCAAGAGGCGGCTGGCAGAGCAGCAGGGGTGGCTAGAGGGCCACCAGGGGCAGCGCGCGGGGCTGCAAGGGCAGCTTGCGGGCTGCAGGGGAGAGGGGCGGGCCGGAGGCCTAGGGTCAACGGGGCACCGGGGCCTAGGGTCAAAGGGGTGGGCGCGGGCCTAGGGTCGATGGGGCGCGCTCGGGCCTAAGGTCGACATGGCGCCGGGGCTTGGGGTCGACGGGGTGGGTCCGGGGCCTAGGGTCGACGGGGCGCGCGGGCCTAGGGTCTAGGGTCAACGCACCGCCCCGCCATGGGTCTAGGGTCGACGCACCGCCCCGCCATGCCACGCCACGCCACGCCACGCCACGCCACGCCACGCCACATCGACTCGCATTCTTCACGTTTTGCAAGTGATCTTCCCGTCCACCCTCTAATTTCTCTTATACCCTCGGCCCACCCTCTCTTGTCGTCCCTGCCTTCACATCCGCCTTTCCTCTCCCCTTCTAGCTTCCCTCCTCCCCGCCCTCTCGATCTCAATCCCGTTGTCTTCCAACCTTCCTCAATACCCCCTCCTTGCCTTCCTCCCCATCTCCCTCCTCTCCTCCCTCTACCTCTCCCTCCTCTTCTCTCTCTCCCCTCCCTCCATCGCTCCGCTGTCCCTCCATCCTTCCCGTCTTTCACGATTCAACTTCGACTCTTTTCCCGTCCCACTGCTCTATGCCGTGCACCACACCTTGCACCTGCCATACCATCCGCACCCTGTATCTTTATATAATTGACTCGTAGCAACTGCCATCGATTCACATCATCTGACAAGAGTCTTCCTCCCTCCCACCCTTTGCAACACTTCCTCTTACTCCCATCCCCCTTCCTTATACTGGCCCTCATACCGTCATAGCTCGTTTTGCCTGCTAACCTCTCGCACTCGTCCCCCCACTCCCATTCCCCCCCTAACCCCCTTTGTCGGATCATCCACGTGGTAGCATCTGATGGCTCTGTCTGCCCATGCGGAGGCCATCCGCTCAATGGTGCAGGCAGTGAGGAGGCTGGCGTTTGGCCTTGAGGGTCGGAAGGCACAGGGGGATGAAATGAAAGAGGAGAAATACGAGGAGGGGGAGAAGCAGCGGGAAGAGGTGAACGAGGAAAGGGAGGAGGCGCAGGAGGAGGGGGAGAGGGACGAGGCAGAGAAAACGAGGGAGAGAATGGATGAGCCGATGGGGAACGGGATTGAAATCTCCAAGAATGAAGATGGGAAGCAAGGGGTTGAGGAAGGGCCAGAGTTCGAGCAAGAAGGAGCATGGGACGAGGCAGAGGAAGGGGAAGGGCTGGGCACAGTGCCAGCAGAGCAAGGGGCAGAGCAAGGGGCAGAACAAGGGGCCCAGCGAGGTTCAGGGGAGGGGCAAGCAGGCGATGCGGACAGCGAGTCAGTGAGGCAAGCGGTTGCCCAGGAGGAAGCTGTGCAAGAGGAAGTGTTTGACAATCTTTCCATGGTGCAGGTGAGCGCGGCAAGGTGCGAGGGACGAGCTGGGGCCGGTTATGAGACCTCCAGCCATCCGTGACTTTTTCTTGGAAGGTGACATATTAAAACTTCATTCAGTACTTGGTCTGCATGAATGACTTTTTAATTCCCCCTCACAAGGATCTCTCATCTGCACACTTCTATCCGAATTTCCCTTCTTCTCACTTCGTCCTCGCTCTTGCTTCCTTCCTTCCTTCCTTGACTCCTCCTCCTCGCCTCCCAGATCACTACCTGATGTTCTCAACACCCCCCCAGATTCTCGCTAATCCCCCCCAAGCCCCTCGTTCCTCTGCCCACCCTAGTTTCTCTACTTGTTTGGCCCTTCCTCCTCTCCAATCCTCCTCTCCTCCCTCACACTCTCGCTGTCTCCTCTTCTTCGACTGTTGCCCTCATCCCTGTTTCTCATCCCACCCCTCCTTCATTCCCCCACTGGTCCACCCCAGCCACTCATCTCCGCCGCTTACAGTATTGGGAGCAGAGTAGGGGCAAGAGCAGATTCAGGAGGGGCGGTTACCATGAATGTGCAGGAGAGGAACGCAAACAGGGGAGGAGGGGGAAGATGGGAGGGGAGAGCAGGAGAAACGCTGGTGGGGAGGGCGCATCAGCGGCTGGTTGGTGGGAGAGCAAGCAAAGCAGAGGTGAGGGCAAGGCTGCAGGGAAGCATAAGTCAACTACTGCCCACGAACAGGCAGGAGAATAGGACCCGGTTGCTCGATCATGTGGTTCATCAGCTCTCTACCCAAAAACCCACTGTTAAAGAGCTTTCCCTCCACAGTGGCTCCCTCGCCTACTACCTCCATTTCTCTCCCTCGCCTACTACCTCGCCTACTTGCAACCATCCATCACCTCGCTCGTTCTTTACGATGTCTACCGCGTCGCCTTGAAACTGCTCCTCTGCCTCCCATCCCTCACATCCCTTCACTTCCACGAAACTTCCATCCAACCCGAAGCTCTGCCACTCTTCCAGTCTGCTTCTCGGCTCCACCGGATCGTCATAGCCTGTGTTGAACCCTTCAACTTCCTTCCTTACCTGTCAGGAAACCGCCATGCCAACCTGCACCCCCAATCTGATCCCACCAGCCAACTCAAGCCATTTCAGCTGTTTGCAGGCTTCAGAGAGCTGCATGTGAGTCGCGTGACTGACTCTATTCTGCAGCAGGTGGGCGCGTTGACAAGCCTTGAGTATTTTTCCTACACATGCAGCAAGGGGGTGAGTTCCAGGGGATGGATGCACCTAAGGGGACTGCTGCACCTGAAGAGGCTGCAACTCGCAACAACAATCGTCCTCAAGGACCTAGGATCAATCGACCATCCCGATGAAGACTCCTATCTGCACCACCACTTTGACCCAAAGCTGGAATTCTCCAAATCTCGCCTGCCAGAGATTACCAGGACCTTCCAAAGGCCTCCCAAGCAAGGGGTAGTAGGCGCAAGCGAAGTCCCCGTCAATCACAGCAATTGCATCGACTGCAGCATATGGGAGGTTGTGGCTGCCCTGCCGGGCCTACAGCACCTGTAGCTGCATGCAGTAGAGCCCAGCACCACATCACTGCGATCCCTCTCCACCATCACGCACCTCACAACCCTCCACATCACCGGTACGCCGCTTGATGACTCTGACCTGCTGGGCTTGAGAGGCCTCTCGTTGCTCACAAAACTCAGCCTGATTGTCTGCCCTTTTGAAGCAGACCGGGCTGTGAGGTCGGTGATTCAAGGCATGACGCAGCTGCAATCAGTGGACCTATCAGGAACGGCGGTCAGCCAAGGCGCTGGTGTGCATCTGCAAGCGCTTGAGCGGGTGGAGCGGTTGAAGCTGCAGTAGTGCAGCGCCATGAGCAACCTTTTTGTGCAACATCTAAGCCGCTTTCTGGTCTGCAACAACATGCAACATGCTTGGCTGCTGCCGGTTCTGGAAGGCAAGAAGGTGACTCGGCTAGGAGTGAGTGGATGTTGTTTCGTGGCGAAGACGTTGAAAGGGCTTCAGCGCACTTGGATTGAGATTGACTCTGAGGGTTTGTGATTAATGTTTGGATGCATAGAATGTTCTAGTCACAATAGGCTTGAATGTGCCTAAAACGAAAGATAGAGTGCACAGTCGGATTTCTGCACAGCGGCTTCAAACGTTGATAGCGTTCTCTTCACAGCTTCAAATGACTTGCTATAAATTGGATCTGGAGCGTCTTGAAATCGCCTACAATAGGCAATTTACATCACACGATTTCATCAAGGATTTATGACGCAACGTTGGTTTGAACGAACGGCACTATGGCAGCCACTATAGACGTAGAACACAAATTAGGAAGAGTTACGAGTTGGGAATGACTCCCAGCTCCTACAAACCCCAAGAGCCGAGGCAAACTGATGTGGAACAATGCCACACTATCCCCAACCATGAAGGGTCTCGAAACTACCCTCCACAAGGGCCTACACCAAGAGAAATGTTGCACTATACATTGTCATGTAAATATTATCACTATCTTGAAGTTTACCCTTTTGGAGAGTTTCGAAATCACTTGAATCTTGAAACCACGGCTCTGGTTCTTCAAGATAAATTCTTCCTTGAGTTCTTGGAAGTCTGCTGCGCACACCTGCGACACGCCGAACGTTCCACACACGACAAAATAGAAAACCGCACACGACACGCAAACGACGACGTGACATGCGACTAGCGATAACTTGCTATTGACTCGACACACATTCAAAATCATGCCTCATCATTCACTCACTATTTTAAGCATGAAATTTATATTATCTCATGCCCTCATACCATTCCATGCACACACGCATGCACGCACACGGACAACAAGTCGAATGCAAACCGTAGGGTTGCACCAACATAGAACATATAAGTTATCTGGCATGCGTTGCATGGTGTGAAGTGGTGTGTGTTTCATTGTGCATGCTATCTGTAAGAAGTTCAAATTATGAGGTGCTATGGTGGCGGTAACATCGCCATGTTACGTAAGCAGCCAGTGTCAGGGTTGTGTATCACGATAACCATATACGTATGTTATTCAGAATATTGTGATGCACACTAAACCTGCTATTTCATAAAACATGGATAAAATCTTGCTTTAACCATAGTTTTAACTAAGTATGCAAGATGCAGGCTAGATATATATATATATATATATATATATATATTTTTTTTTAATTATCGCTTGTCCGACTCCGTCGGAACCCCTGGTCAGGTCTAGGCCTGGACCAAGGTAGCCCCGGAGAGAACCGTGTCCCAGGATTGGCAATCCCCAGGATTGGCGTTCCCCCACGGGTAATGATGGTACCCAGAAATACTGGCAACCTTCCAAACAATAAACACTGTTGCAAACCGTATAGCTGTGTTTGGATGATGGAGCACAATAGACTACCGTATGTTACGAGTGCAATTGAGCGAGCGAGCGAGAATTCCACTATCGAAGCAAAAACAGTCCAATGAGCGAAGGCATGCGCGAAGAATATACAGCGAACTAGAGTGGTAACGGTAACCCGAGGAAATGGGGTGCACTGCGGGTCTAGCGCCGAGGTTGGGAAATGTCGAGGCGGAGGTCCGGAGCGCGTGTTACCAACCAAACCATGAGGTTGGGTCGCATCGTGAACAGTGGCGGGAGTTGTAGTCGAGGCGAGTGTCGCGAGCCGGTAACGTTTCACTATTAGGTGCCGATGGCGGGAATGGTCTTGTACGCAGTAAGCAGGGGCGCGAAGTAAGGAAAAGGATTTTTCCTTACTCTACCCCCCTCCCCAAAGGAGGCCCTTCTTACGAGAGCGCGTGTACATCTTGAAAGTTTTGGCTGTGCAGATACCCAATGAGGATAGGGTGATTCTCAATTCTATCCAGGGGAACCCAGTCGTCTTTGGTGGGTGTGCGGTCTTTCTAGTGGATGAGGAATTCGATCCTGCGGCCTCCCCGTGGGTCACGTACTCGTTGGCTAAGTATTTTTTCGAGCGTGATGATTGGTTCTGTCGACGGCCATGTCATGCTGGCGGGGCGGCTGCAAGGCAGTTGGCTGGTGGATGGCACGTATGGGCAAAGCAGGCTGACGTGGAATGACGGGCTGACGTACGAGTCAGCAGGGAGGAGGAGGTGGGCGGTAACGGGTGTGATCATGTGGCTGATGCAAAATGGCCCGCAATATCGGGGGCGGAGTTTTGGGGTGATGGGCAGGCGGAGGTTTTGAGTGTCGAGTAGCACGAGGTCGTCGGGCTGGTAAGTGATGGGTCGGCGGTGGCGATCGGCATTACGCTTAGCGATGATGCATCTGCTGCTCGGGTCCGTGCTGCTTGTAAAATCTCTGCGAACTATTGCGCGCGTGGCACCAGGTTGTTAGGATTTGGAGTCTGTTATAGTCACAATAGGCTTGAATGTGCCTAAAACGAAAGATAGAGAGCACAGACGGATTTCTGCACAGCGGCTTCAAACGTTGGTAGCGTTCTGCTCACAGCTGCAAATGACTTGATTCAAATTGGATCTGGAGCGTCTTCACGTCGTCTACAATAAGCAATTTAGATTGCACGATTTCATAAAGAGTTGACGACACAGCGTTGGTTTGAACGAACGGTACTATGGCAGCCACTATAGTCTTAGAACACAAGATAGGAAGAGTTACGAGTTGGGAATGACTCCCAGCTCCTACAAACCCCAAGAGCCGAGGTACAGTGATGTGGAACAGTGCCACACTGTCCCCAACCACGAAGGGTCTCGATAATACCCTCCACAAGGGCCTACACCAAGAGAAATGTTACACTACACAAAGTAATGCAACTATTCTCACTATCTTAAAGTTTACCCTTTTGGAGAGCTTCGAAATCACTTGATTCTTGAAACCAAGGCTCTGGTTCTTCAAGGTAAATTCTTCCTTGAGTTCTTGGAAGTCTGCTGCGCACACCTGCGACACGCCGAACGTTCCACACACGACAAAATAGAAAACCGCACACGACACGCAAACGACGACGTGACACGCGACTAGCGATAACTCGCTATTGACTCGACACACACATTCAAAATCATGCCTCATCATTCACACACTATTGTAAGCATAAAATATATATTATTTCATGCCCTCATACCATTCCATGCACACATGCATGCACGCACACGGACAACAAGCCGAATGCAAACCGTAGGGTTGCACCAACAGAGTCATGGGTACCGTGGGGTCTTGTCGGTAGTTCAGGTAAATCGGTGACTGTTGGGTCGTGGCGGATGGCGAGTTGTTGTACGCGAACTCGATGAGTGGCATTTGTTGTTCCCAGGTGGTCGGGTCATCACACGTGGCTCGGATGAGTTGCTCCATGGTCTGGTTTGTTCGTTCTATCTGTCCATCGGTCTCGGGGTGGTACAAAGAACTGAACTGTAGTCGCGTGCCGAACTTGTTGTAATTTCATATATTATATTGTTGTAATTTAATATCTTATACAACATACATAGGCTAGAATTAGATGTGTAGCACATTTATAAATTGGGGGGCTGTTTAGTGTACCCTCCAACCACATTTTGTGGTTGGTTGGGATTGGTCCTTAACCAATCCCAACCAACACACATTTGTGGTTGCTTGGGCCACAAGCAAGCTCACCCATTGGTCAACATATTGGCCAATCGGATAAGCTTCCGTCTCATCTCTCTCTTGCTCATTGTTTGTACTAAAGGGCTTCTTGGCTCATTATTCAATTGATCAATTCTCTCCTTCAACATGGTATCATGAGCTAATGGCTCACGCCTTCATCCCTCGGTCCTTAGGCCACCCTCTCCTCCCCGTCCCTCAGATCTAGCCTTCTAGAACAGAACTGTCATCTCTTCTCTTCGGTCCTTTAGGGGCTGTCCTCCCTCCCCGCGCGCCCCATAAGGTGCAGCCCTCCAAGGCACTGCTCCACGCACGTCCAGATCTGCAACTCCAGCGCCCAGATCTGACCTCCCAGTGCCCAGATCTGCCCTCCCAGCGCCTTGATCCACTCTCCTCGCGCTCAGATCTGCAATTCCAGCGTCCAGATCTACTCCTCCCGCGCCCAGATCTACTCCTCCCGCGCCCAGATCTACTCCTCCCGCGCCCAAATCTACTCCTCCTGCACCCAGATCTGCACATTTTGTTACCAGATCTGCATTCTGCGCGTCCAGATCTGCACTCAGCGCGACCAGATCTGCATTCCGCGCGACCAGATCTGCATTCCGTGCATCCAGATCTGCACTCAGCGCGACCAGATCTGCATTCCACGCGACCAGATCTGCACTCAGCGCGACCAGATCTGCACTCCGCGCGACCAGATCTGCATTCCGCGCGACCAGATCTGCATTCCGCGCATCCAGATCTGCACTCCGCGCGACCAGATCTGCACTCAGCGCGACTAGATCTGCATTCCGTGCATTCAAATCTGCGCTCTGCGCGCCCAGATCTGCACACCTCGCGACCAGATCTGCACTTTCCGCGCCCAGATCCACTCCTCCCGCGCTCGGATCTGCCACAGGGCTGCCCTCCTCGTCCCTACCCACAGCAGCATCATCAGCGGCATCTGCAGCGATGCCAACTGCAGCACCCTTCCCCCTGCCTCCCCCATAACATCGCTCCCCCCCTCCTCCTCCTCCACCTCCCCCCACCTTCCGCTCCTCCCTTCCTCCTCCCATCCTACCAGCAGCAGGACCAGCAGCGGCAGCAGTGGCACCAGCAGCAAGACCAGCAGCGGCACCAGCAGCAGGACCAGCAGCGGCACCGGCACCGGGACCAGCAGTGGCACCAGCAGCAGGACCAGCAGCGGCACCAGCAGCAGAACCAGCAGCGGCACCAGCAGCAGGACCAGCAGGGGCACCAGCAGCAGGACCAGCAGCGGCACCAGCAGCAGGACCAGCAGCGCCACCAGCAGCAGTACCCTCGCCCCATCCTCCTCCTACCCTTGTTTCCACCCACCCTCGTCTCTATGGCATCGTCGGATTCTTCGGTCGAACTTGCTACTGTTGATGCACTCGAGTTGCTACCCGACAACACTGCTGCTAATTGGCACTCCTACGCTCACTCAGTCGAGGTTCTCCTCTCCTCTGTTGTGATCAGCGGCTACAACCTTCGCTCGGTTGTCTTCCAGGAAGGTGGTGGACTTCAGCCCGTGGCCCCCACCGCTCCCACTGGACCTGTGCCCACCCACCCTGGCACCGAGCCCTCTCCCCCTGGTGATCCTCCCACCTTTGCACCGAATGTCAACGATCTGCAGAGCTCAGAGACCGCCATCCGCACCTACCGCACCAATCTCCAAGAGCACCTGCGCCAGCAACTGCGTTACGAGTACGAGAAGCGCATTTATGACGACGCTGCTGCCCGCTACAGCAAGTACCAGGAGGACCTTGACACCTACACCGCAGACCTTGCCAACTACACCACGAAAATCACTGCCTGGCAAGTTGCCGATCGGCGCGCGCTTGCCATTCTTCTTGCCACCATCCCCTCCTCCCTCAAACACGAGCTCTCACCTACCTCCTCCTCCCACCTGTGGCGACTCCTCGTCGACTTTTTCGATCGGCAAGACGTTGCCACCCTCTACGCCTTCATCAAAGAATTCGGCACTCTCTCCATGGACTCCACTTCTGGAGCTGCTGCCTTCACTCGCCGTGTCCTAGACCTTGCTCGGCGCCTTGCGACACTCGATGTGGTGTACCTGGACATTGTCATCTGCTGCCACCTCCTCGACGGCCTCACACCTGCCTTCGACGCTCACAAGCTTGCCTACATGCAGCTTCTCTCCAAGCACCATACCCCCGCTGAAGTCGCTCAGTGGATTATCACCACCGAAGCCGAGATCCTTCGCCACTCTACCTCCAGAGTCGCAGTAGCTCAGCCGCGCAGCAGCAGGGGTGGGCGTGGGGGTGGATGAGGCGGATCACCGGGTCGCGGTGGCAGTGGTAGCGGTGGTGCGGGTCGCAGTGCGGCAGCTGCCTTTCCTCCCTGTCAGTACCTGCCTCGCTACGGTCCCACACAGGGACAGCGCTGCGGCCAAACCACTCATGCCACGGAAACATGATTCAAGGCACTCAGTGATGAGTGGCTTGCCCGTGGCAACACCGGCACCCCTCCTTGCTGGTCTGCCCTCAACCCACGCCCCACTCCCCTTGAAGTCCGTTCCTCTCCCCTCTATGAGCCTTCCTCCTCCACCCAGGCCCACTAGGCCCTTGCCCCTCCCCTGCAGCAGCAGCAGCAGCAGCAGCAGCAGCTTGGGAGTCAGCAGCAGGGGTTACAGCAGTACGGGCAGCAGCTTCTCCTTTCTTAACTCCAGCAGCAGCTCCAGCATCTCCAGCAGCAGCTCGACCTATAGCCGCAGCTGCCCCTCCTCCCTCCTCCTCCCGTTTCCCAGCAGCAGCCCTTTCCTACCTGGACTGCCGGGAGTGCTGCCTCCGCAGCCCATCTCTCGGGTGCATCTCCAGCGCCGTCTGCAGGTGGTAGTGTGACCGCTTTCCCCTCTTCTGGTTTGCTAGGTCAACCTGAATCTGTTGCATCTCCCATATACCCTTCCTCTGTTAATGCAACTTCGTTCCAGTACTCTGCCTCACCCTCCTCCACCCTTGACTTCGTCCTAGACAGTGGAGCCACTGACACTGTCCTTCGTGATGCTGGTACACTGCGCCCTCTCCCCACACCCACCTCCCTCCTCACTACTGATAGCAGTTTTTCTATCCCCTGTCACAACACTTCTACCCTTCCCTGTCCTCTTTTTCCCTCAGGTATTGTCACCGGTCTCCACATTCCCTCCCTACGCACTAACCTCCTCTCACAAAGGTCCCTCCAACAAGCCAATATCACCACTGTCTTCCGAGGTGGTGCTAACTACTGTGCCCTTTACAATACTGCTACAGGTCGCCTTCTCTCTCGTATTCCCTTCTGTCCTCGTTCCCGTTTGTACACCCTTCGGATTCCCCGCCCCCCCACCTGCCAAGTCGCCTCTCCCTCTCTCCTCCCTCCCCCTCCCCTCCCTCCCACTAGCCCACCCCTCCCTCCCCGCCCCCCTGCGATCATCGCCTGGCTCGAGCGGGCAAACACCCATTTTGGGCGCCCTGTTCGCCGCCTTCACTCTGATGGTGGCGGTGAGTTCCTTAACAACCAAGTCTCCTCCTATTGTCAGTCTCGTGGCATTCTTCAGACTGACACCCTCCCTCACTCCCCACAGCAGAATGGTGTGGCTGAGAGTCGTGTTTGAGAGATCACCAAAACAGCCCGATGTCTTCTTGTCCACGCCTCCTACCCCCCTTCTCTGTGGGGCTACGCCCTCCTTCACGCCGCCCTCCTTACTAACCTTTACCCTCACCCCCTTCTCCCTTCCACCACCCCCACTGAGCTGTGGACAAAGGACAAGCCTGATGTCTCATCTCTTCGTGTCTGGGGCTCAAAGGCATATGTCCTTATTCATCCCTCTGATCGCTCCCGCTCCATGGGAAAGCTTGCCCCTCACACTCTTCCCTGCATCTTCCTTGGTCATAACCCTACCTCACCTGACTACATTTTCCTCCATCCCCCCTCAGGTCGTCTAGTCTGCAGTAGGGATGTGGTCTTTGATGAGTCCACTCCCTACTACTCCTCTCCCCCATCCACTGACCCACTCCCCCCTCTCACCTGTCCCCTTGTCTGGTCTGACACCACCCCTCCCCCATTACTCCCTCCTTCCCCCCATCCTCCCGCTTCCCCCCCCTCCGTCGTCCCCGACCCACGGTGCCCCTCCCTTGTCTGGTGATATCTTTGACCCGGAACCTCTGTCCTCTCCGGTCTCCCCCACACATTCCTCTCCCAGTGCCCCTCCCCCCCTCCTCTCCCCTCCCTCGCCACCGACCCGTCCTTCCCCTCCTCCCCGCACCGTACTTACTCGGTACCTCCATACCAGGTCACGTGACAGTATCCTTGGTGCACCGCCCCCTGTTACCCTCTCTTCCTCTACCCTCCCCCCTCTCTCCCCTCTCCTTCACCACTTCTTCCAGGCTGTTTTGCATCAACGTCCTCCTGCAGCAGCCCCCTCTTCCTCCTCTCCCTCACCAGCAGCAGCGTCCGCAACAGCACCAGCAGCTGCACCAGCAGCAGGACCACCAGGAGGACCAGCAGCGGCACCAGCAGCGGCACCAGCAGCGGCACCAGCATCAGCACCAGCAGCGGCACCAGCAGCAGCACCAGCAGCCATCCCCGCCTTCCACACCTCCCTCTCTGAGGACTCCCATGAGGAGTTCCTTGACCTCCACCTCTGTAACCCCTCATTTCTACTCATCACATTCGACCTCTCCGGCACACCCGTCTTCGCCTTCTCCTCTGCTCCCTCCGTTTTCATCCCCGACGCCCCTCTTTGGCTCGCCGCCATCATCAAGGAGCTGGAGGCCTTTATCGCCAACTCCTCCTTCGTTGATGTGCCTCGCCCTCCCGCCTCTACGAACGTGGTGAAGGGGAAGTGGGTGTTTCGCGTCAAGCAGCTGTCAGGGGAGCCGCCCGTCTACAAGGCTCGTTACTGTGCCAAGGGCTTCACGCAGCGGTATGCTGTTGACTTCTTCGATACTTTCTCCCCTACCGCCAAACCTGCTACCGTTCGAGCCGCGCTCGACCTCGCCGCTTGCCTAAATATGGAGATCCACTCGATGGACGTTTCTAACGCCTTTCTGCAAGGCGTCCTCCGCGAGCTAATCTACATGGAGCGTCCAGCCGGCTTTCACCTTCCCTTCCCAGCTAAATCTGTCTGGCAGCTGCGTTGACCTGTGTATGGGCTCCGATAGGCCCCTAGGGAGTGGCATGCTAAGCTTGCCGCCGCCCTTGCTGAACTTGGGTTTCGCACCTCCCGCTCCGACGCCAGCCTCTTCCTCCGCGCCTCCCCCTCCCCCTTCTACATCCTTGTGTATGTCGATGACATGATTCTGCTCACCGCCGACCTTGCTGAGCTGGAGAGTGTTAAGGCTGAGTTGGGTAGTCGTCTCAAGTGCAAAGACTTGGGAGAGCTGCAGCATTACCTGGGCATGACCATCACCCGCGATCGCTCCGCCCGCACCATCTCACTCTCCCAGGGTCATTACTTGCAGCAGGTCTTGGAGCTGTTTGACATGGCCCGGGGCGGTGCCCAACATGCTCCTCTTTCTATTGGGCACCACCTCTCTCCACCCACCTCCCCCTCAACCTCCTCCCATCCTTATCTCGAGCTCGTCGGCTCCCTCATGTACGCCATGGTCTCCACTCGCCCTGACCTTGCCTACCCCATCAGCATCCTCGCTCGTTTTGTTGGCGCAGGCAACCATACGGAAGAGCACTGGCAGGCCGCCAAACGTGTCCTCCGGTACCTTCGTGGCACCAAGGACTATGTCCTTACCCTTGGCGGCCCCTCCCCACCTCTCCTCAGCGGCTACAGTGACTCCTCCTGGGCTGATTCTCGGCCAGATCGTCGCTCCTCACAGGGCTATGGCTTCTCTCTTGGCAGCAGCCTTATCAGCTGGCGCTCCACCCGCTCCTCGGCTATCGCCCTCTCCTCCTGCGAGGCGGAGTTGTATGCCGCTACCATGGCTGCGCAAGAGGCCCGCTGGCTCACCTTCCTTCTTGAGGAACTTGGTGCCCCCCAGCGCTGTCCCACCATCTGGTGTGACAGTGCCAGTACTATTCACCTCACCAAGGATGCTGTGTTTCACGGGCGCTCCAAGCACATTGAGCTCCGTCATTTCTTCATTCGTGATCTTGTTCAGGCGGGGCACCTTCGGCTCGACAAGATTGACTCGGCGACCAACCTTGCCAACATCTTCACAAAAGCTCTTCCTCATGCGGCTCACTCTTCATTACTTCATCTCCTTGGCCTCACTCCTCCTAAGTCGTCTCCCACCTCTTGATTCTAGCCTTCTAGCCTTATGCATGTTGGGGGGTTGTGTTGTAATTTCATATCTTATACTGTTGTAATTTAATATCTTATACAACATACATATGCTAGAATTAGATGTGTAGCACATTTATAAATTGGGGGGTTGTTTAGTGTACCCTCCAACCACATTTTGTGGTTGGTTGGGATTGGTCCTTAACTCAACCAATCCCAACCAACACACCTTTGTGGTTGCTTGGGCCACAAGCAAGCTCACCCATTGGTCAACATATTGGCCAATCGGGTAAGCTTCCCTCTCATCTCTCTCTTGCTCATTGTTTGTACTAAAGGGCCTCTTGGCTCATTATTCAATTGATCAATTCTCTCCTTCAACAGAACTGCTGCCACAGGTTATGCTAGAAGTTGCTGGTGAACTTTGTATCGCGATCGCTGATGATCGATGCTGGTATCCCGTGCGGTCGAATGACGGTGGAGATGAAGAGGCGGGTTGTTTCTTCGGCTGTGATCGTTTTCTGGCAAGCTGCGAAATGTGCCATTTTTGTCACCCGATCGACGACGACCAGGATCGCATCATTCCCACTTGCACGAGCCGGTAACCCCGTGACAAAGTCCATCGTCACCTGCTGCCAAGCACGCTCTGGGGGTGGTATCGGCTGCAACTGTCCTGCTGGCCGCTTCCGTGATGACTTCATGAGTTAGCAGGTGGGATACGATGCCACGTGTCGTTGCACGTTGGTCAGCATTTCGGGCCAGTAGTAATACCGCTGCAGTTGCTGCCGTGTTTTCTCTACTCCGAAATGTCCTGATGTAACCCCGTCGTGTGCCTCCTGTAGTAACAGCTCCCTTAGTAAAATGTAACCCGGAACCCAGACGCGGTTGGTGCCGGCTTTTACGTAATAAACCCCCTTTGCTGCTGCGAACTGCTGCGAATTTCCACCTGTGAAGAACGGGTCGGTTTGATAGCCGTGGGTAAACAACCCTGTTAATAGCGGGCTGGTCTGGGCGAGTAGTATGGCGTGGATTTGGGCAGTGGGGCGGGTCAGTGCGTCGGCAATGCTCGATGCCCCTTTTTTGTAGGTGAACAGAGAATAGTATTCAGGGCAGAGAAGGCAGCATGCTCTTTCTCCCCCCACGTAAAAGCGACCCCCTTCCGCATCAGATCCGTCAGTGGGCCTGTTAACCGTGCCATGTTGGGGACGAACCGACGCACATAATTAACGAACCCTAAAAAACTCCGCAGCTCCGTGATGTTTGTCGGGGGATGCCACACTTTCACCATGTCCAACTTCTTTGGGTCGATCTCAACTCCAGCCTCCGAAATAACGTGGCCCAAAAACTCCAGCCTGTCCTGAAAAAACTCGCACTTGGAACCCTTGGTCAGTAGTCGGTGCTCGTCTAAAACTTTAAAAACTGCTTCCAGATATGCTAAATGCTACTGCTTATCGCGGCCGTAGACGAGGATGTCGTCGAGGTAAACTATCACACACTTATCTAACAGAGGCCTAAACGCCTCGTTCATGGTCATCTGAAAAGTCGCTGGTGCGTTGGTCAGCCCGAATGGCGTTACGGTGTACTCGAATGACCCGTACCTAGTTC